AGCCGACAAGCAACATCACGCATTGCCTAATGAATCAATCCATCAACGTCGCACGTAAGTGATGAGCGCCCCAGCCTCTTGTTAGCTCAGCGAGCTTGCTTGTTTTCATATCTGTGTCATTTGCATCCCGGCCAGAGCCGGCACATTCCCATCCCCACTTCGCAGGCTGTGAACGCCTTCCCTCACTTCTAGCCTGATAGGAGACAAGGTTCACTCAGAATTTTCTCCCGCCTTTAACGATACCCCTTCTTAATATTTTAAAATAGATGTTTCTCAGAGAGAATCACTTTTCAGATTTGAATTAAGTGAATCATCTCAGTGACACTGGACCCTGTTAACCCAATGCTTCTGGAACATCTTTCCATCTTTGACTTCTGGACAATGTTGTTTTCTTACCGTCTTCCTCCCTCTTGGCTATGTGTCTGACTTTCTTCTGTGGGTTCTCCCCTTGACACCCTCCGTTTTCCCCCTCGGCCCCCCCAACCAAATCTCAGACCAATGCCAAGGAAGACCCTGATCTCCCCTGTGGGCACCAGTCCATAGCTGCCTCCCTGTCTCCTCAAACTCAGCTTTTCCAAAAGGGACCAACCAGCTCCCCTCAAGCTGCCACCACTGCCGTCTGCTCCTCCTCCTCGTTTACTTCCTTGGCAAGTGGCACCATTCTCCCATCACTCACAAGAGAAACCGAGGTGCCCCCCTTCCACACCCACCCTTCCCCTCACCTATACTGTCCAGCTGAAAGCAGGGCCTGGTCTCTTCTATGAAAAAAGACTGCTACGTCATATGAGCTTAATCTTCCCTAAGCTGCCTGGTCTCGGCAAGGTCACAGTCAAGTGGTGACACCACCAGCCTTGTCTCCGGTCAAGTTTCCCCCACATCCCCTTGGCACTGCCAATTTGTGACCTTGTGAAGGTCACACACGCCTTTGAAAATTCAGCTGAAAAGGGATACATTTTCTCTGCGGAACAGCACCTGGGAAACGGACCCGTAAGAATCCGAGCACACGTGCAGGGCGCCGGGGGCTCAGGGAGACCAGGACGGAAGTCCTGAAGACAAGCCCCCTCCCACTTTCTGGACGCGGTGGCTTCAGCATCTCTGGGTCTTCGGTCTCGGGCGCCCCCTGCCCACTTTCCCCGCGGGGCTAACGCCTCGCCCCCGGCGCAGCTCACGGCCACCGCCTCCGGGAAGGGCTGTCGCTCTGCCCCTCCCCACGTGCCCCCCGACCTGTGGTGCCTGCACTCGTTCCGAGAGCTTCCACAGCAAAGCACCACGAAGACGGCAGCTTAAGACATCAGGGATGTGTTCTCTCGCAGTCCTGGAGGCCAGACGTCTGGCATCCAGGTGCCGGCAGAACTGTGCTCTCTCTGGAGGATCCAGGGAGAATCCTTCCCTGCGCCTTCCTAGCTTCTGGAGGCTGCGAGCAGCTCGGCGTTCGTTGGTTTAAGGTGGCATAACTGGTCTCCCTCCATCTTCACACGGCCATCCTCCCCATGTCTCTGTGTCCCCAAATCTCTCTCTTTATAAGGACACCAGTCCCCGGATTGAAGGCCCACCCTAACCCAGTGTGACCTCATCCCATTCACAGGTCTGGGGTTAGGACTTGAACATATCTTTTGGGGGGACACAACTCCACCCAGCACAGTGCCCCCGACAGGCTGTCATTGCCCCGCGTCCTCACCGCGCTGCTCTGTAACCATCTGTCCGTGAGTCTGTCTCCCCACGCTGACAGAGGTCTTTAGAGGACGTCTTACTGGCACCTTCCCCTCATGCCCAGCGCCGTGGCTGGGTGCCTGGCCAACTGCTGACTGTCGACCGAACGAACACATTATTTTCTATTTTGGTAAGAGTTATGCTTGTTGGGGGAAAATCAGAACATACCTTCCTCAGGCAATCTGATCATATTCCACTGACGTTTCAAAGACTTTTTACTTAGTTTCAAAGGTCTTTTAATGACAAGGACGTGTTTGGCGAAAGGAAAGAAAAATCAGCCACAGTATGTGTCTGTAACTCCTCTCGGAATGAGCCAGGCTCCCACCTTCCACGCTGTTTGGAGACGCTTTACCTCTGATGAAGTCACCAGAATGTTTACGCGGCAACCGGGGAGGGGGTGGGGAGACCACCCTGGGCTGTTTCTCCTGAGCAGGGACAGCAATCATCACTTTGACATTTGTATCTGAGGCTTTGTAGACAAGCAAAAAAAAAAAAAAACTGGCACAACCATTACAGTTTTCCGCAGAGCCCTGTTCGATGTGAGACAAAGAGCTATTTCATCTGCCACCTACAGTCAGACACACATCTCTCCTCAACTTCTCATTACTTTATTTTTCACCTTGTTTTCATGATGCTGGTTCTCTTGCCAAGCAGCATTTTTACTGTTGGAAAGTGCCCTTATGATTAACATACATTCAGATAACATCACAATATTAATTTGTCTAAGCCACTTGTGATACATGTTAACCAATTTTTGCAAACTGGTTTATCTAGAAAATTGGGCAACACGGCAGTCTGTTTACCATGAAAGCTATCACAAGAATGATCGATTAGTTCAATTTAATAAAACACCTTTGACACTAAATTATAATGAATATTGTTTTATAATTTATACCAAGCCACATCTGAGGTAGCTTATAATTAACAACACAGATAAAAACTGGCAAAACTGTGATCAAAGAAGCAAGTGATGAGCTGGAGAAATCACTGGACCATAAAGCCTGGGCTAAACGTGGCCCTGGCACCGAGGAATCACAAGCTAAGGGTGAGTTTGCCACAGCCAAGGCCAAATAGGGGACACGGTAAATTGCACAACTTACTGCCCTTCAAATGCAACATACCGTTTCATGGGGAAAATGGCGTTTTATCCCCTGGGATAAGGCACTGATAGCACGGGTCATTGTATAAATGGACAGTGCCTTTGCAAGCTGGTTCAGAAACAGTGGAACAAGGCACATGTCACTGGACAACCCCACGGAGCTTTGGGTCTGGTCAATGTCACTATGACACCATAATGGCTAAAACGTACTGCGCCATCATGGCAAGACAGACGCTGAACTAAAAGATTATCTCCTTTAACACTCAAGATGACCTTCCAAGTAGGGCACAATTTTTACTCCCATTTTACAGCTGAGAAAGCTGAGCTCACTGAAGTAACCTGCCAAGCGTCACCTGTCCAA